GAAAGAAAGAAAGAAACTAGAAGAGAATAAAGATATAATAAGAGAAGAGAAGAGAAGAGAAGAGAGAGACAAGCTCGGATATATTTAATCGACAAATTAATCGAACAAATTCGAATGGCTTGGCTCGAGAAAAGAAGGATGGAAAGCGCGAAGAAGGAAGAAAGCGTTAAAGGAGAGAGAGAGAGAGAGAAAATAAATCAAGAGGAATGAGAAAGTACGAGAAAGGGAGAATCATTTAAAAAAAGAGCGGATAAAATATTAACGCGAGAAAGGGAGGGAGAGAAAGAAGAGAGTGGAAGAGAGAATGAGAGACACCGAGCACCTGATTAAAAGAGTAATTAATTAATTTTATACTTTTTCGTGTGCGCGTGAATGAATGAGTGCGTGTGCGTGTGCGTGTATGTGTGTGTATGTGTATGTGTCTTGTGGACGTTGCGAAATGCTCAAACAAAATAAAACAAAAACAAAACAAAACAAAAGCATACAAAACGAACAAAATGACAAAAATGAAAATAAAAAAAAAAAAGAAAGAATGAAAAGAGAAAAGCGAGATCTTATCTATCGTAATGAAATTAATGAACTAGCGCGTGTTGCTCATTTGAGGTTAGACACGTGATTCGCGTTGGGCTCAAATCGATCGGTCACGGATCGTCGGTGTGCTCGAGGAGCGTATTCGACGAATTACGCGTATAATAGAAGTAGAAATTAACGTAGGAGGAACGTATAAATAAAGCAATGAGGAGAAGCTTAAAAAATTTAACGTAATTGACTCTGAAACTGCTCACGAGAGCATTACGATAAATCAAAAAAGATGGTGAGAGAGAAGATCGCGATTATCGATCGTTCAGCGACATAAATCTGTCGACTCAACATACACGCACAAAAGAAAATCTCGAGGTGTAAACGAGGTTGAACGAGCAACAACGTACGGGAGCAGTCGATAATGATATTCGAGTTTAAAAAAGCGATGACAAAAAAAGAAAAGAGATGATAAAAGACTGATTCGTCGAATCATTCCTATCGTGCACCGGTGATTCGAGATGAATAAAGGCGAGTGAGGAGAAGAAAGAAAGTCGAAAGGAGAGAGGAGAAATAGAAGGAAGAAATGGAGAATGATATGGTATGGTGAATAGATGAGAGAAAAAAAAAAGAAAAAGAAGGGAGGAGGAACGGAGGAAAAGAGATGAGAAAAAGAAAGAGAAAGAGAGAGAGAGAGAGAGAGAAAAATTATTAATACAAAAATATTAATACCTAAATGCCCGGTTTATTTTTATATTTATTTTTCGATCTATGAAACGTTATAAAAGTTTAAAAGTAATATTTAAATCTAAATATATATGACGATAAATATTATATACTTACGCTCTGTGTATGATATATAAATATATATATGATTATTATTACTATTATTATTATTATTATTATTATTATGATTATTAATTATTAATTATTGTAATGATAATAATAAGAAACAATGAAGAATGAAGAACAACAACGGATGATTAAAAAGTATTATCCAGGACTGCACCGTAAATTATTATTATTATTATTAATACGGTACGATGCCGTGAACAGATTGATATTAAGAAGAAAAGAAAAAGAAAAAGAAAAAGAAAAAAAACTAGAAAAACAAAAAAAAAAGAAGAATAAAAAAAAAAAGAAAAGAAGAACACGTAACGTTGTTCCCGTAAAAGGAAACACGTGCCCCGCTAAACACCCCTCCCCGCCCTATGCCCCGTAAGACAAGTCTACCATCCCCTTATCGATTCGTAATAAACCCCTGTAAATGAATAAGTTCGTAAGAGACATCGACCCGCTCGTGTAACATTCCCGACGTAATAAGAAATGATGAAAAAAAAAAAAAAAAAGAAAGAAAAAAAAAAGAAGAAGTAAAAGGAGAACGAAAAGGAAAACTGTATCGTAGAATTAAAGGATCCTAGTTGCTGTAAAACGAAAAAAAAGCAAAAAAAAAAAAAAAATAACCATATACATAATATATATATATATACATCTATATTATGTATATATATATATATATACACACACACACACATACATATATATATATACATATAAACATATACATATATATTTATATCAATGTAGCGTGGTTAATCTTTTAAGAGAAAGACGCGTATAGTGAGACATCATAGGTTTTTAAAATTAACGATAAAAGACTATTATTAGGGGAGGGAGGGAGGGAGGGAGGGGGAGGCACGTTCTCTCAGTTGTCAGTCATTAGTAGCATCGTAGCAATAAAAAAGGGTGACTGACGTTGATCGTTTCTCGAGGAAAAAAAGAAAATCGGAAGTGATCTGTTCGATCCGTGTCAGGGAAGATATATTTTCTTTTTTTTTCCTTTTTTAGATTTATCCAAATTGTTTTAATCCGATCGGCTCTCAGCTCGACGATTTTATTTTAATCCATATATTGTTTTTTAATAATCTGTCTGTGTCTATTTTCTTTTTATATAAGCTTTTAGATAGATTATTTTTTAAAAATCTTTTAGAAACCTACGATTTCGCGACATCTTCACTTCCAATACGAACACCTACACGCTTCTTCACTTTCCTTGTTTATTTATCCAATTCGTAATTTCATCAAATTTGAACGTTTCGACATTAGAACTACCGACTCGTAACTAAATGTATAATGTTTAGCTCTTTCAGCCCTAAGTATACGTGGCTTATTTATTTAAATGGAAAATGTGATTTGTCGGTATTTTTAACTTAAAGATAACGTAGATATAGATTTATTGTAGGAGGTATGGAACGATTGTAGGCGGACACATAGATAGAAAGATATGTCCACAGCGTTTGGTGGACTATTTTTCGAAATCTATATATAAATCTATATATATATATATATTTATATATAAATATATAAATATATATGTAGGGTTTATTAAATATTTAAACGTACAATTTTGGATTTATAATTAAATCCAGAACTGTGTCCAAGTTTTAACTTTGTCATGCGTGGATATGTAAATCATAGCTCTTAAGGTAATTCAAATGAATTTTCAAATCATCCTAGATTATTTTCCTTAAATACCATAGCAATCATACATACATAATTTATAAAGTTGAAAGAGTTAAGATTAAAGTAGTATATATGTATTCATGTTTCTGTTTCAATAAAAGTCAACATTAACTTTGCCAGAAAAAAAAAATAAAAATAAACTGCTTGCACATTTTTAATGCAAACAAGAAGACAAATCTTTTCTTGGTAGTTCTGGTGTTCAAGACAGAGCACGCTGCGAAATGTCCATCATCATCTCTCATCTGATTCCAAATTAACGTTTTCGACATTCCCCTTCCCCTCCCCAAAATCGCTAGCTCCAAATTTCCACGAAGAAACATGTCCAAACTTATTCATCACGTTCATCCAAAAATTTACCAGCATCCTATATAAAAAAATTTCTCGTTCCAAATCACGTTTCTTTCTGCGACGTTAATTTCTAAACGTTCAACGCGATCAAAGATCCAGATTCGAGATCTAAATTCTCTTCTAAGAATCGCGAGCTGAGCTTTCAACGTTTCAAAAAAAAAATCGTCCGCTCCAAATTTCGACGGTCATTCAAAAATTCCTCCTCACCTTCCCCTCCCCCCCTTACCCCCCAATTCCCTCCCAGGGGGAATCGAATCGTCGTCGTCGGACGGTCCGGATCCGTCGATTACCGGATCGTGTACAACGGTTTCGGTGCACAACGGGGCGAAGTCAGCCGTGAAACGAGCGAGCAACCCCTCCCCTCGACGAGGAGGGGGTGGATCGCGGAACGAGGCCGGAACGGGAGGAATTCGTTTACCGATAAATCCGTTCGTCGTTGCCAGAACACTGGATGACGGCCGAGTGGCCAACAAACCGGAGCATCCTCGGCATCCGGCGTACATTTTTCCGCCACTCGACTCGATTTCACCGCCGGATCGAACGAATTGTCCCGCAACAACGAGGAGAAGTAGAAGTAGAAGAGTGGGCATAGTATATATATATATATATAATCAGCGGAGAGAAAGAAAAAAGAAAAAAAAAAGGAACGCAAGATGCTGCTGGACGTGTTAGGAACGGATCCCCTCCCCCTCCCCCCTGCCACTCGATAATCCAATTAAACGGAAAGAGAGAAAAAAAGAGAAATGAGTGAATAAATGAAAAGGAATGAAAAATCGAAAAAAAGAAAAAAAGAAAGGAGGAGAAGAGGAAGAAGATACGACGAGGAGAGAGAGAGAGAGAGACGAGGTGTGTCAGAGGGAGAAATACCGCGGCACGCCAACTGCCCAACTGCTCCTATAGCCTAGTTATTTAAGTAAGAAGAACGCGTGCACGAAGAACGGGAGGACGAACGCTGACGTATCTGTTCGTATTTCGTATTTGCTAAATCGAGTATGTAAAGGGACAAGAAGGGTGAGAACGCGGTGAGAGGAAAAAAAGTAGGGCAGCGCGATGGTCTCGTCGTGAACGCGCTTACCCTCGGTGCTTGTGGGGGGAGGGGGCGGAAAAAGGAAAAAAAAAAAGAAGAAAAGGGAACGAAGATAGAGGAGGTAGTAGGCTATGAAATGGAAAAAAAAAAGAAGTAAGGAAAAAGAAGCGAAGGGAAAAATAAGTGGAAGGGAAGAATAAGTGAACGGCCAATTGTAGAGTCGAAGGTAACGAACGAATGCGAGGAATACCGTGTACAGGATGGGTATGTATAAGGAATAAGGAACAATAAGTGGAGGATTGGCGATTGTGTGACGTGCACGTTCAAACGTGATGAATCGGATCTTTCGATCGACGACACGCCGAATTAATATCGTCGTGATTCACTGAACGTAGAACTGCAGAGGTATCCCACGTATTCCCGAGGATCGTTCGCTCGCTCACTCATTTTCGCACTCGATTACCTAATGAACGTAATGGCTAAACGTAACGATCGATTTCGCGCAGATGTATAAGGTGATATACACGTAAAAATACATAGTATATATATATATATATTTAACGTTATCTTGTATATATATATTTATTTACATATGGTATATGGTACACGATTATAATATTACGCGCATAGCTTTTCGACTGATTATCGTAAACGATAAAACGTACACTTTGAAGGGACGATATGACGAATACGACACGAGTACACCAGGGCGGAACGAAACGTTAGGGGAAAAAAATTTGTTACCTTCCATCATTTCTATATGATAGGTAAAAAAAAAAGAAATAGCTTAAACGTAGTAGTGAATCAATTAAGAAAAAAAAAAAAATAATGTAAAAATAATTTTCGACGAAGAAATTCTACTCTAATTCTAACGCTTCTATATATATATATATTAATTACGAATATTTACGAATATATATTTAAAAAACAAAAAAAAAAATATTAAATCTACCATATAACGTTAAAAAAACGAATATTAAAAAAAAAGGAATCAGCTCGCCTCAAAAATCTACGAGATTCGATACAACTTCTTTTCGTTATATTATTTCGTTGTATTATTAAAGTAAAACCTCACAATTTTGATTTTTTCGTTCCACCCTACGTATACACACGTATACACACGTAAGAGTTGGAAACACAAGAAAAAGAGAGAGAGAAAGAGAGAGATAAACAAAAGAAACAGAGATAGAAAGGAGAATAGGGAGAGTGCACAGCACTCGTACATACGCGTTTCGAGTGGAGCGCAAACAAGTACACGTTTTCATCCCCTTAGGAGGTTTGGGTTCTCCGTGTGTCGGCCGGTTTCCGCGCCTCGTCTTTCCGCTTCGTCGTCGCGAGGCCCGCGTGGATCGTGGATCCTTGCTTGTTTACTCGCGGATTAATCGGCCCGTAAAACGAATTCCTGGAAAGCATGTTTGCAAAGCATGAACAAAGTTTACGCGAGGCTTCGGTAAGGGCTATGTTGATTATTGATTTTTCGAGTGGTCGAGTATTTTAAACCGAGTAGCGAAGTTTTAAAATAGATAACGTAGGAGAGAGTAATCTCTGTAACTCTCTCGCCCCTGTTTGGAGGGGATCTTGGCGTATGATTTCATTTAGAAATCCGGTAGAAATTGAAGCTTTTTTGAAAGTTCATCGAAAGATGTAGATTTTAGAGATAATATAAATAAACTAGAATTTTTATCTATAAATCTTTTTCGTTTCTACAAAGTATTACGAAACTATTTTATAAATTCGTGTTTAATAATATATATCGAAGACTCGTAAAAATAAAAATTCTACTATCCAGTAGTTTTATCCAGTAGAATTCGGATCGTTCTATACAATTATTCGTCAAATGATATTATATATATATATATGCAATCTAAACGTAAAACGATCTCGACGTATTCAAAAAATCAATCGAAGCCGCGCGTAAAGCCGATTTTTCCGTCGAATATTTCGGCTCAACGATGGTGATTAATTTCACGCCTCTAATGTCGTTCAAGTGACTAATATATATATATATAGAGAGAGATATAGTATATTTTTCTAAAACAAAAAAAAAAAAAAAAGGAAAAAAGAAAAAAAAAAGAAAGAAAAATATATAACAATGAACAATACACGCACATATTATCAATTAAACAACTACCGAAAATTGAATGGAAAATCGATTTAATCTATTGCCTGGTGAAATTAAACGACGGATATCCGTTACAACGCGCAATTTCTAATTTATATTCTGTACAGTTTACAGAATATAACGCGTTAACGAGCAATTAAACGGCAAACAGGTTGGAAAGAAAAGATATTACGCAACGGTTTATAGAGAAACCGTGGTGTTTTCCAATTTTCCAAAATAATATCCCGAAAGGATCCCCCGTTTATCTATCAATTATTGCGACACACGTGTGTTTTGCACGATTTTCATCCGGAGACTGAATTTCCATACGCATGGATTGACTGCCGTTCGAGCGGCTCCAATTAGTTTCGCTCGTTTAATGATCGACATCGAGAGCCCAGTTATTAATTGCCGGCTTAACGGCCGTCACGATTTCTGATTGTATCATTATAGAAACCAGGGGGAACTGTTTGCATTATATTTTCCTCGCGTGCTAATATTAAGAAGAAATTTCACTCGTCGGTGGTTTTAAACCATTGTCTTTTTTTCCACTAACGATCGATAACATCTTAGTTTATATGATTCGATTTTCGATCAATAGAGTTTCATTTACATTACATTATTTATGTCTCGTAATGTTTAATAATACTGCGAAACTTTTTAATTTTCAACAATTTATATTATAAAATTTCAAATAGCTCGAGTGTGTTAAAAAAGAAAAAAAGTTTATTAAAACAGCGCGGAATGAATTACAAATTTGCTAAGTCGATCAGGATTAATACGTCGAACGTGAAAAATTGAAACGTAAAAAAAAAAAAAGTATCGCTTGATTCATTTTCGTCGATTCGTCGAAAAATTAATTTCCTCCGCGCTGAAAATTTCGTCAAAGTCGAAAGGACGAGAGAGAGCCCCGACCCAAAGGATTTCTCCAGGATTTTCGAATTAATTGTCCGAGCTTGAAAATCTCTCTGCCGGCAAAGAACTATAAGAGGATTCTAGTTTCACCCTCGTAATATCGCCACGCAAAGAATTTAATGCTATTATTTCTGCTACCGGTTATCATTTCCACCAGTCACGCCATTAAGACGGTGAAACCTTTTTTTTGCACGTGAAGTTCAACGTACCCCGCGTATCGTACGTTGGAGATGAGGATGACTCAACGAGTCACCACTTCCGCCGAGTGTCGCCATTAATTTCGAATTTCTAGATTCTTCCGATCGTCGAAATATCCCTTTCGTCTCGAGCACTCGCCCATCTTTTAACGAGATGCGATTAATTTCTACCTGAAACTTCATTTTCTTTTTTCCCTTCCAATTCTCGCCATTTTAATATTTCTCTTGCACGAGTTTCCATTTCCATCTCGAGGATCATAAATCACAAGTAAGAATCAAAATCGAGGAAGTTTATTTCAAAGTTTTGAAAAAAAAAAAAAAAAGAAGAAAAAAGAAAAGTCATTCAAGGATCGACGAAACATAGCGACGACACGTTTTCTCACGATGCGAAACCGATCTTAAAGGCCTAAAGAGAAGGGGATAAACGTCGACGAAGGCGCGTTTATACACAGACCGACACACGGAGTTACGGAGATAAGCGATAGAAGAAAGGACGATGATTGCAACGTAATCAATTATAACAGTACAGAGTATAACAGTACATTCGAATAGGCACGCACATAATATATATATATACACACACATACACACACACACACACACACACACACACGAAGCCACAGAAGTATAAGAAGTATATACGATATAAATGAATATAAACATTAATAACATTTAATAATAGCTACTAATCAATCATTTTTACACGTACGTTACATGATGTGTCACCGTTTACTATTTATATAACAAACCCCCGTTCGTGAATGTTCCTCCTCCCCAAACTTTCCAAAAAAAATCGTCCCCCAATCTGCCTAGAACAGTCCCCTCCCCTCCATGTCGCCCACTCCGAGTAACAAGTTTTTTATTATTATATGTCGGCCGAGGCGAGCCGTTTGCGTCTTCAATACGGAATTTCAAAGCAATAAAAAGTAAAAATGAGACTACTTAGGAGAGTACGCGAGCGCTCGAGTGTGTGTGTGTGTGTGTGTGTGTGTGCGCGCGCGAATGTTTTACGTATTTGGCTTTTGGGACGAGAGGTGCAGGAGTAATAAGGTAAAGGAGAAAGGGTATTGGACGAGAGATAAGGGAGAATGATCGACAAGGGTATATATAAAATTACAAAAGTGAAAAATTAGAGAAGAAAATGGAAAACGGAATGAGAGAGAGAGAGAGAGAGAGAGATACGATCATTCAACAGTATTATTCGACGAGTAAGATCGTCGTTTTAAAGGAAACAACAATTCCTCCTCGTTTCTCCCTTCCCCTCTTTTTTTGTCCTCTCGAGAGCCCGGATCGACATCGCCCGACGATCTTCCTCCACACCGACCCTAATTTCCCGAGCTTGCTTTAACTCTCCACGGGATTACGGCTACGCGGAACCGGCCGCTCGTCGTCGATCTCGAATCGCGGATTGACGAACGTCCGTCACCCGCATTCGAGTCGTTCCGCTAACGATCCGTTCCTTCCGTGAACGCTTCACTTTCCAAGATCAGATTCACCCCTCGCGCGGCGTAGAAAGAGAGAAAGAGAGAGGGGGGGGGGAGGGAGGGAAGAGTCGTCGTCTCTCTGCATTCTTCGGTACTTGGAAGGAATATTGGCGATGGAGCGATGGCCCATAGGGTGGGATTCACCATCGTATAAGGAAGCGAAGGAAGAAGGAAGATGTATTGGATGTTGGAGATTTTTATGAGTTTTATTGCGAGATAATATTGGTTGAGGTTTTATTGCGAAAAATTGAGTCATAACTTTTTAGGATTTAATTTTTTTTTTTTTTTTTTTAGTTGGAACGAGTCGTCTCGATTATCTCGTATAAAGTGTTATTTATTGGCGAGCGTTTGGTATTATTTTTTTTTTTTTCTTTTGGAGTGGATCGTTGGAATCGTTGTTGACTTTCTGCAAGTGATAAGGATATATATAATTTATTCATTAGATTATAACAATGCTTTGAATATTTTCGCATTGTTATATTTTTTAAAGTTGTTTAAAAGGGGGTTTTAAATTCTATTTATCGATTCATTTAGAGATCTTAGAGGCAGGAACGACTTTAAGAATAAAGTATATGTTATCATTAATTTCATAATCGGTTCCAAATAGCCGTAATCTCTCGATGCGTAATCCCTGCTCCACCTTGAACCTTCTTTCGTTCGAAGAATCAACTTCCAACTTGTAATACCGTCACGATTTCAGAGGGAATAGGAAAAGTAGAAGAAGGGAGAATTTCGGACGACTCGTCGGATGTCGTAGTTCCATTAGCGACTGTTCTAGAACGTTCAGAGAGATATTCACGCTTGATGTATTTTCTGAAAAATGTATCATCACACGTGGAAATATCTTCGTTTTTGGGGCATGTATTCGTGTACGAGCGACACGATAGATCAAAAAATATTTGTGAATATTTATATTTCGTTGAACGTAGTACAATCGAAGAATCATGTTCCAAAGATATATTCTACAACTGTATGCTCGACATTTATATATACGTTTTTAAACAACATTCGTTTCAACAAATGTTAATGAAAAAAATATCCATACTCGAAGTATATACATATGTATATATATTGCTGGTGAAGTAACTGACATAACTGCGAATATTGATTGATTTTTCAGCGAACGAAGAAACATAGCATTCATCGATTTTGATATTCAAATTTTGCGTACAGATATAGAGAACTCGAAAATATAAAAGATATACATATTTTCTTTTCTTGCCGTTACGTATTCAAGAGATGAAATTAAATATCTGATTTTTTTCATCGACAATAAGATCGAATTTCAATTTTGCAGTTGTGCTTTACATTCGTATACATCAAATATTTAAAAGAGTATCGATATTTAAAAGAAAGAAAGAAAAAAAAAAAAAAACCAATCCATTGTTCGTTAGGCTGGAGAACAGCATCCTCGTTCTGGAGGACGTTCTAGATGTCGCTGCGTGAACCCTCGAGAGAAGTGGATTGCGGAGGCGATTGTTAACATCCGGTTGAAGAGGTTAGGGAAAAATGGAGGAGTAAACGATAGCATCAACAGCGAAACCAAATTGCTCCTCTCTTCGGGCGTTTGTATACGTACACGTGTACGTGGGAAATTATATACATATATTTATAATCCACTCGAAATATAATGTAATTCGCTCGAAAAACTTTCTGTTGGAAAGGATCTGTTTACACGCGCGTAAGTAACAATGGTTGTAGACTGGAACTGGATAGAGATTATTATTATACGATTGCCGTAATATTTTTATAATTTATCGGGAAATAATGGCGGAGAAAAGAGAGAGAGAGAGAGAGAGAGAGAGAGAGAGAGAGAGAGAGAGAGAGAGAAGAAGAAAGTAAAG